AAAGGGAGGAGCAGAAGTAGGCTTGATTGAAATCAGGAGTTGGGCAAATCTTTTCAAGAGACTGGTTCCATTTAACCCTTAGGGAAGAAAATCTAATGGTTAAGGAGAAAGGGAGTATAACTAGGTATATCTAACCTTCCATCCCCTCGTGGCTGGGAACTTAGTTTTAAGGTTTCCTTGGGGCTATTGGCCAAGAAGGAGTTCATTTATTGGAGGCTTAGAATTTTATTTTTATTTCTCAGGGGAAAATAGAAACTATTGTGAATAACTCTATCCACCTCAGTTTGATAACCTGGATAAAATGGACCAATTCCTTGAGAAAGACAATCTTCTAAAACTCACACAAGAAGAAATAGACAACCTTAATAGGCCTATGTCTAGTAAAGAAATTTGAATCAAGAACTAATAACCTTCTGAAACAGAAAGCATCAAATCTGTCTGGGTTCACTGACAAATTGTATTAAACACTTAAGAGAGAAATTATATGAATTTTCTATAATCTCTTTCAGTAGGTAGAAGCAGAAGTAGCACACTCTAACTCATTCTATAAGCCAGCAGTAACTTGTACCGAAACCAAAGACATGAAAAGAAAACTATAGACCAATATCTCTCATCTATATAGATGCAAAATTCTCCACAAAATATTAGCAAATCAAATCCAACAATGTGTAAAAGGTATTGAACACCACAACCAAGCATATTATCCCAGGCATGAAGGAGTATTTTACCATTTAGAAATCATATCAACAGGCTAAAGAAAAAAAAATCAACTAATTATATTAATAGATGCAAAAAAGCATTTTAAAAAATCCAATATGCATTTATTATTTTTAAAAAAAAAAACTCTTAGCAAACTAGGAATAGAGGGAACTTCCCTAACTCAATAAAGGACATATACCAAAAAATTTACAGTTAACATCAGACTTAATGGTGAGAACCTTTCCCACTGAGATCAGAGCAAGGCAAGGGTGTCCCTCTCAAGAAAAGAAAATGAAAGGTATACATATTGGAAAAGCAGAAATAAAACTGTTTTTGTTCACAAATGGTGATAAGATTGTCTATGTAAAAAACTGAAAAAAATCAACAAACAAAAACTACTGAAACTAATAAGCAATTGTAACTAGGTGGCAGCATACAAGGTTAATATGCAAAAGTCAATAGCTTTACTATATATGTGCAAACAATGAACAACTGAAATTTGAAACACATCACCATTTACATTACCTTTCAAAAAATGAAGTACATAGGTACAAAACTAACAACATATGTGTAAAATCTATCTGAAGAAAACTGTAAAACTGATTAAAATATTTAAAAACATCTAAATGGAGAGTTATTCCATTTCATGGATAGGGAAACTCAATATTGTCAAGATAGCAGGTTTTTGATCCATAAATTGAATGCAATCCTACTAAAAATTCTAGAATATTGTTGTGTGGATATTGACAAATTGATTTTAAAATTTATATGGAGAGGCTCGGCACCTATAGCTCAACCAGCTAAGGCACCAGCCACATACACCTAAGGTGGCAGGTTCGAATCCCCAGCCCGGGCCCGCCAAACAACAATGATGGCTGCAACCAAAAAATGGCTGGGTGTTGTGGTGGGCGCCTGTAGTCCCAGCTACTTGGGAGGCGGAGGCAGGAGACTCGCTTGAGCCCAGGAGTTGAAGGTTGCTGTGAGCGTGATGCCATGGCACTCTACCCAGGGGGATAGCTTGAGGTTCCATCTCAAAAAAAAAAAAATTTATATGGAGAGGCAAAAGACTCAGGAGTAGCCAACTCATATTGAAGAACAAAGCTGGAGGGCTGACATTATCTGACTTTAAGACTTACCTTAAAACCACAACAATCAAGGCAGTGTGGTACTAATGTAAGAATGGACAAATACATGAACAAAATTAAATAAAGATCCAGAAATCAACTCACATAAATATAGTGAACTGGTCTTTGACAAAGGAACAAAAGCAATCCAATAGTACAAAGGATAGTTTTTACAAGAAATGGTGCTGGAACAACTAGATATCAATATGGGGAAAAAAGGAATCTGAACACAGACCTTACACCCTGTACAAATACTAACTCAAATAGGATCATAGGCCTAAATGTAAATGCAAAACTATAACACTTTTAGAAGGCATAGGAGAAAAACAAAATGACCATGGGGGTGGCAATGACTTTTTAGAGAAAACACTAAACATAAGACTTTTTATATATTACACAACATCATGGTCCACGAAAGAGACAACTGATAGTTTGGACTTGGTCTTTTTCAGAACAGAAGTTTCCGATTTTAACAATATCAAGCTTTCTTCCTTGGTGCAGCCTATAGAGGTGGCAGCCATCATCTATCCAGCATCATAACTGCCCTCAGACCCCTTGTGAAGCTGAAAAAAGAAAACTAAGAAGTTTATCCAGCAGCATTCAGACCCATATGTCAAAATTAAGTTAACGGGTAGAAACCCAAAGATACTGACAACAGGGTTCAGAGAAGATCCAAGGGCCAGATCTTGATGCCCAACATTGGTTAAGGGAACAACAAAAAAAACAAAGCTGGGCAGCACCTGTGGCTCAGTGAGTAGGGTGCCGGCCCCATATGCCAATGGCGGAGGGTTCGAACCCAGCCCCAGCCAAACTGCAATAAAAAAATAGCCAGCCATTGTGGTGGGTGCCTGTAGTCCCAACTACTCAGGAAGCTGAGGCAAGAGGATTGCCTAAGCTCAAGAGCTGGAGGTTGCTGTGAGCTGTGATGCCATAGTACTCTACCGAGGGTGACAAAGTGAGACTCTGTCTCTAAAGAAAAAAAAAAAGCATATGCTGCCCGGTGGTTTCCAGAAGTTCCTTGTCAAGGAGCTGGGAGTGATGTTGATGTGCAGCAAATCTTACGGTGCAGAGATTGCTCATATTTCCTCTAAGAACTGCAAAGCCATTGTGGAAAGAGCAGCCCAGCTGGCTATCAGAGTCACCAATCCCAATGCCAGGCTGTGCAGTGAAGAAAATGAATAGATGGCTCATGTGCCCATTTTATTTGTGTTTAAATAAAACCACTTAAAAAACTGCAAAAAAAAGCCCCCATAAAACAATATTAAGAGAATGAAAAGATAAGCCCCAGAATGGGAAAAAATAGTTGCAAAAAACACATCTGATAAAACACTGTTATCCAAAATATATGAAGAATTCTTAAAACTCAACAATAAGAAAATGAACAACTCTACTAAACAATGGGCCAAAGACCTTAACAGACACTTCACCAAAAAAGATTTACAGACAGCAAATAAGCATATGAAAATATGCTCCACATTTTATATCAATGGGGAAATGCAAATTAAAACAACAACAGGCCACTACACACCTATTAGAATTGCCAAAACCTGGAACACTGACCACAGCAAACAATGGATTTGGAGCAATAGAAACTCTTATTCTTGCTAATGGGAATGCAACTAGTACAGCCACTTTGGAAGACAAAACTAAACACATTCTTGCCATACAATTCAGCAATTGCACTCTTTGGGGCAATTAAAACGAAAACTTTTGTCTCCACAAAAAACCCTGCACACATGGATGTTTATAGCAGCTTTATTCATAATTGCTAAAATTTGGAGGAAACCAAAGTGTCCTTCACTAGATGCACGGGCAAAAAATTATGGTATATCCAGACAATGGAATATTATTCAGTACCAACAAGAAATGTGCCATCGAGCTACAAAAATACATGGAGGAAACTTAAATGCATATCACTAAGTGAAAGAAGCCAATCTGAAAAGAAGCCAGTGCATACCGTCTAACTGTAACTAGATAACATTTTAGAAAAGGCAAAACTACGGAGACAGTAAAAAAGAAAAAATCAGTGGTTGCCAGGAATTAGTGAAGAGGGATGGAGGAATAGGCAGAACAAATGGGATTTTTAGGCGGTGAAACTATTCTGGTGGATACTGCAGTAGTGTATATGTGTTACTATGCATCAACACCTGTAGAATATACAGAGCCAAAGTGAACCCCAAAGTAAACTGGGGACTTCGACTGATGATGAGTCAGTGTACATTGTATTGGTTATTAAGTATGAAATATCCGATTTCCTTAAGTACTAACTTTGACAATTAATACTATGACATTTCACTCTGATGCTTCTTTTTTTTTTTTTTATTGTGATGGTACATGTTGCTTCTTTCAAATGCGTATTTTGGCTTGTGATTATCTTTCAAATTTTTTTAGAGCAATTTTTGTGCAATCATGGATAAATCAAAACTTTGTGTTATTTTTGGATATGAGTTCTGTCATGGAACTAGTGCAGCACAGACAGCTCAAAATATCAATGAAGTGGTTGAGAAGCATGTGGCTAACGAATGAACAGAACAAAGAAGGCTTAAGAAATTCCATTCTAGTGATATCAATCTTGAAAATGAGCCATGAGAGCCAAGGGGATAACAGTGAGCTGAAAGCTGCAGTGGAAGTGAATCCATCCCAACCTCTCTGTGAATTAGCAGCAAGGTTTGACATTACTATTCCGACAGTATTAGACCATTTGTAACAAATAAGCAAAGTAAAGAAGCTGGGTAGACGGGTTCTGCATGAATTAAACAACCATCAGAAGAGAAATCATCTCAGAGCTTGCCTTTCTTTGCTGTCACAGCATAAAAGTGAGCTATTTCTACACTGTTTGTTACGTGTAATGATAAATGGATTCTTTTTGACAATCACAAGCATTCAACACAATGGTCAGATATAGATGAAGTGCTGAAACTGAGTCCAAAACAGGATAGTCATCAAAAAGAGCTAATGGTGTTTACATGGATGGAGCTGGAACATACTCTTCTTAGCAGAGTATCTCAAGAATGAAAGAAAAAGTGTCCAGTGCACTCAGTCTTACTATGAAACCAATTTATAGCTTTCTTATGAAAGCTATAACCCAATTATAGCCCAAGAAGAAGGGAACAGGGGAGAGGGGAGGGGAGGAGGGAGGATGGGTGGAGGGAGAGTAATTGGTGGGACCACACCTACGGTGCATCTTACAAGGGTACATGTGAAATTTAATAGGTGGAGAATATAAATGTCTTAACACGATAACTAAGAAAATGCCGTGAAGGCTATGTTAACCAGTTTGATGAAAACATTTCAAATTGTATACAAAACCACCAGCACATTGTACCCCATGATTGCATTAATGTACACAGCTATGATTTTACAATAAAAAAATAAAAAGCTAATGGTATCTGTTTGGTGGTCCAATGCTGATACTATTCACTACAGCTTCATGAAACCTGGTCAGTCAATTACAGCAGATGTCTACTGCAACCAGTTGGATGAAATGATGAGGATGCTTGCAATTAAGCCGCTAAGATTGGTCAATAGGGACAGGCCAGTTCTCTTACAAGACAACATTCAACCACATGTCACACAAACAATTCTGCTTGAACTACAGAAGCTGGACTTGGAAACTGTTGTCCCACCATAGTCACCAGTCCCACCTTGCACCAATTAACTACCACTCTTTCAGGCTTTGAACCACTTTTTACAATTCTCAACAAGCTGGGGAAAACATCTTTGTGATTTCATCATTACTTGCTTTCCAGCCTTCTTTGCTGCTGGCATCAACAAGCTACCGTTAAGATGGCAAAACTATATCAATAATTTAGGTACATACTTTGATTAACTGTATCACTTCCTCTTTTTTCTTTTTGAGACAGAGTCTCACTTTTTTGCCCTAGGTAGAGTGCCATGGCATCATAGATCACAGCAACCTCAAACTCTTGGGCTCAAGCAATTCTCTTGCCTCAGCCTCCCAAGTAGGGGGGACTATAAGCACTCACCATGACGCCTAGCTATTTTTAGAGATGGAGTCTTGCTCTTGCTCAGGCTGGTATCCACCTCCTGAGCTCAAGCAATACACCTGCCTTAGCCTCCCAGAGTTCTAGGATTACAGGCATGAGCCACCACACCCAGTTGTACTGCTTCTTGTTTGAGATATAATAAACTAAACTCTCTTTTTTTTTTTTTTTTTT